AGTGTATGAAATCTAGTAACATTCTTTTCATTTCAGAAATTCCAGTTGGATTTTAACCACTACGCTCGTCCTCTCAGTGCTGGTGCTGCTCTGGATTTGTTGTGCGACCGTAGCTACGGCGGTTGAGCAGTATGTTCCATCGGAGGTAATGCTGGCTTATAACTTAGGTTTGGAATTTATATATCACTTATGTTACAGCTGTCCAGAGACTAAAAAACACAGCAGGGGGAGGCTGCACTAGAAAGAAGGTTTTTGCCTTGCGGATGTGGTTAGCAAACCAGTTTTGTTACTTAAATGATGATTTTATAGCTGAACAACTCTTGCTTATTTCTGTGGCTGGTTGGTGCTCTGAGCCTTATTCTGGCCACCCAGATACGATGTCTTTTGGTTTGTAGCGCTCTCCTTCCGACAGCTTTGTGATTACTGTAACAAATGGAGGCTGCTTCCAGTTTCTCTGGGAATAGAGTTGGGTGGTGTAGGTGGAACCCGGTGTGGGTTTAGTCCAGGAGGATCAACACTTGAGAACACAAGGGACAGCATGTTATCCATGAGCAGAGTCTGGTCAGAGGGAATGGGCTGAACAAGCAGTCCCAGCACCCAGAGATCCCCGCGCTCCTGGAATAAGCAAGGCTCACAGTATTCGCAAACAAGAGGAACTGTTACACAAGCACTGTAGCTACTGTTCTGGCAGATTTAATATGCTTCTTTTGGACTCAGATCTGGTTCCAGCCACGAATTTCAGCTGTTACAGAAAGCCTGGGTTAACTTGTGCTAAAGGGCTGCATCCATTGGAACCAGGAATGTGGTTGCATAATGGAATATGTTTTATTCACAGTACGGAGGGTCCTTGTCTTAAAGTAAATTGTTTCAATATTTCAGAAGCTGAGCATCTATGGAGATTTGGAATACATGAATGAACAAAAACTGAACAGATACCCATCCTCTGCACTTCTTGTGGTTAGATGCAAGACTGAGGAACATGAAGAAGCAGGACCGCTTCCTACAAAAGTCAATCTGGCTCAATCAGCAATTTAAATAAGTCTCCACTGGATCCAATAGACTAATTCTAACAGAGCTAGCAACTCCTGATCATTTGTGGTGGGTCTTCAGATAAGAAGCTTAGCAGCCAGACTTTAAATGCAAATAAAGTTACAAAATCAACCGATGTCACAGGGATTTTGTTTTCAACTAGTAGGGAAGATGCAGACATCTTGAATTTATGTTTGTTTCCAAACATAATCACTTCTCACTGGTGTTTGCTGTGTCTTTTTGCTTACGGAAGCTGTAAGCATGCTCTCCATGCTTCTGCCATGACCCTTTCACACTTCTTTGTGCGTTCTAGGATGTGACGTGTACATTTGGAGTTAGCTTTGTAAAGGTATACGGAATTTTAAGTAGGCAGGAGATGCCTTTTTAGTGTTGCACTTTCTGTTGTAGTTAAGAGGAAATACTATAAAATTATCTGCTGAATTTTTGTACTTGCTAATGTCCATGCACAAACAACCCTGTCTCCAAAAACAGAACTATATTTTTTAATACTGTGTGGCAGTATCTGAGGTGGAAGGTGTTTGTGAGGTACTTACTGTGGGGTGGAACTCGGGTTGTGAAAGGTGGAAACTTCGCTGAGGTTGATGGGCATATCCCTTCACATGCAGAACATACGGGGTCAATTATGTTGTCACACTTTAGCATTTGGGTCTTAGATTGCTTGTAAAGTTAGTGCCTGTGTTTTCTGAAGAAATTCTACTTTCTGTTCTTGATTAACTATTCAAGTCTTGTAACTTCATTTACAGAAACGAGTTGATTCCGGAGAAATGAGAACAGACAAATAAAAGTGACTGTGTAGAAGATGTTGACTATATAGCTTTGTGCTCTGCTTAGTTACTGGCCACACCGCTTGGTATGACAGCCTGCCTGCAGCGTTCCTCTCAGGGCAACGTTCGCTAACACAGCCGCAACCCCGTCCCTCAAATTTCTGATACGTCTTTTGCAGCCCCTTCCGTTGAGGAGATGATGCTGGTTCCCAGAGCACTGCCAGGTTGGGGATGTGTGGTTTACTTTAAGGTGTCTCTAAGTGTTTGAAAGCTGGCTAGGATGCATGATCTCCAACTCACCGTCCTATTTTGTTGATTAGACAAAACAACCTTGAAAGCTTAAAAAAAAAAAAAAAATCCAAAAACCACCATCTCTTAGGTCTTGAATTGTGTGAGAAGTGTGGCGGCTCTGGAGGGCAGTGTTCTTCACTGTTTCGGTTGGTTCAGTAGTCACCCCTGATTCGGCTGGAGCTCCCATGGTTGTGTAACTACAGAGGATGGAGCCTTGCAGGTTAATTAAGCAGTAATGTGCATGGAGTGGCCTGTAGAGCTGCTGAAACCCCCAGCCTGGAAGCACTCAAGCAAGTTTTCCATCATTGGGGTTTAAGAGCACCAAGGTGTTTAAGCAGGCTTCTCTCAACGTGCAGGAAGTGCAATTTGAAGACTTAAATTAGTGGTACCTCTTCACACTGAATTCTGTAGTGGGACTCATTGTAGCCCAGAAATTTGGGTGCCAGCAGCTGTTGACAGGTACCTTTGTGTGTAGGTGGCGTTACTGCAAGGCCTCGAGCGTGACTGTTGCGTAAGTCGGTGGTGTGATGTTTTCGGAACGCCGTTCACTTTTGGATCACCAGGCCTGCAGCAGTCGCTCAGCTGGGCCGTGCTAAACCTTGGTGCGCAGCCCCGCTTCGGTGCCAGGGTTCCACTTCAGGCAGTGTCAAATCCCGTTTGTGTGACAGATGTTTGCATGTCTTTGTAAATACAGGCTTCACCTCCGTGATCATCGCCGGCTGCCTGAGCTCTGTCCTTTGGGATTGCCTTTCCGGGAGAGACTTGAGCACTCCCGGGTTTTCTAACCGAATTACTAACTTGGAAATGTTTCCAATTCTGTTAAAATGTTTTCCTTTACTACTAATTATACGTGGTTGCAGAGGGAGTGTTACAGCTTCACGAGACCGTGGCTTTTCGCCTCTTTCAGAGTACAGTACCACCTCTGTAAGGTCAGTGACTCGATTTCGCTCAACTTTCTCTTCCAAAACGTTTGACTTTATTGCTTGCATCCTAGGTTTGAGCTAAACAAATAACTTCCTCTCTCCTTTGGCCTTGTATCTGCCTACAGCGAAGGGAGAAAGCACAAAATTCTACCCACTTTGTCTTCTGCTAGTGGTTTGGTAACGTTTCAGCTGAGATCCATGCTGTGGGGTCACGGGAACCCCTGTGCCAGCGCCAGTGTGTCCCTCCGCACTCCTGTTTCCAGGGTGAGCCTGAGGAACTTGTGCAGTGTGGCAAGGTCTTGTCGAAGGATCTTCCCTCAGTGAAATCGGCTACCAGGTAGTCTGCAGTAATTGAACTGTTTCTCCACATTCCTGCTCTAAATTGACTATTTAAGCTGTCTTGGCATTTGACTCTGCAAAATGGCTTGTCCTACTCAGTTTTTGTTAAATGTTTGGCTTCCTTACGTTGTTTTCAGAGGCTGTAATTTGGGTTTGATCCCTGCCCAAGACCACTGTTTAAATGAAGGGCCTGTAACTACTGAAATTGCAGAAGGAAAACATTTTATATTCTCCTTAGGCATGTGCTCAGTTGAACTTGGATTTTCAGTGGAATCGTCGTGACACAAATGAGGCAGCCCCCTCTCGTGCACAGTGCATCGCCGGCAGCAATAGCCATGTACGTTTGGGAGAGCTTGGGTGTGTTTTTAGGTGCTAGAATTAACAGTAGTCTCCTGTCATGTCTTGATCTTTGTTCCCACCTCAGCTTCCCTGATCTCTGGCAAAGATTTTGGGGGTTTATCCTTCAGAAGGGTTTGCTTGTGCTTGTTACCTCATTCTCATGAACTATACGCAGTGTTTGATGTGGGTGAGCGCTCTAAAATCCAGCTGCCTGCTTGGCTACAGCCGATAATCTTGGTGTAGGG